TCTTTTTAAAAGTAATAAAGACATCACTCAGACAAGTTTCCACTGTATTTGGACATTGTGGCATGTGGCAATAAGCATCTCCTTGGATATTTCAAGTGATTCATTCAACTCTTTCTAACTAATCTTTGTAAAGTGTAATTTCTCTAAATGAAGATACGATCAAGTCACCCTGTGAAATCCCTCAAGACTTCCTCTTATGTTTGGTATCTATCCAGCCACGTGGTGCTCAGGACCTCTGCTCTGCCCTGCTCTCCTCACTCTTCCTCTGGATTATTATTACTATTATTATTATTGTTATTTGAGACAGAGTCTCAAGCTGTCACCCTGGGCAGAGTGCCGTGGCATCATAGCTCACAGCAACTTCCAACTCTTGGACTCAAACGATCCTCTTGCCTCAGTTTTTTTTTTATTTTTAGTAGAGATGGGATGCCACTTTTTGATCAGGATGGTCTTGAACCTGTGAGCTCAACCTATCCACCTGCCTCAGCCTCCCAGAGTGCCAGGATTGCAGGCATGAGCCCCGCGCCCCGCTATTCCTCTGGATCAGTCAACGTTCCTTGTTTTTTCAGCTTCAGGGGCGCTTCCACACCAGTCTTCAAATTCCTTACTCTGCCCCTTCTGCTCCTCCCGTTTCCAGCAACTTCTCTCTTTCTCCCACCCAATCTTCCTCCCGCAAATCCCCCTTGTCACACAGCCTCAGGTCCTATGAATTAGTGTCCATGTCACCCGGGCAGCATCACAGTTACCATATGTTCTAAGTGTCAGTTTATGGGTTCCTCTTCCCCACAGTGTGAGCTCCTAGAAAGCAGAAAAGATAATGTGGGATGGCGCCTGTGGCTCAGTGAGTACAGCGCTGGCCCCACGTACCAAGTACAGCGCTGGCCCCATGTACCAAGGGTGGCAGGTTTGGCCCCAGCCAAACTGCAACAAAAAATAGCTGGGTGTTGTAGCAGGCACCTATAGTCCCAGCTACTCGGGAGGCTGAGGCAAGAGCCTAAGTCCAAGGGCTGGAGGTTGCTGTGAGCTGTGACGCCATGGCACTCTACCGAGGGCAACAAAGTGAGACTCTGTCTCTTAAAAAAAAAAAAGGAAAGAAAAGATAATGTGCGTCTTCTATATAGAAAGCACCTGTAACATTTCATCACAAGGATTCATTGTCATGCTGGTGCCCATAGTAGATAGTGGCTGCTGGAGTCAGACTGGCATTTTATTCATCTTTTATTCATCCAGAGCCTCACCCACAAGTGGCGTTCAACCAAGGCTTGTTAAACAGCACAATATCTAGAAATCTGCCACAGGACAGCCTTCCCACCCCAGCAATGTCAATACTAATATCACAGCTACCTGGCTTTCAGAGAGAGTCAAAGACATGAGCTGCATGTCACCAAGTACTTAGAGATGAGATGAGATTCAGGGTCACTGAAGCTGTATTACAATCAGACACACAGTATATCCCTAATTTTATTTTATTTTATTTTATTTTATTTTATTTTTTGAGACAGAGTCTCAAGCTATCACCCTGGGTAGAGTGCTGTTGCAGCATAGCTCACAGCAACCTCCAACTCCTGGGCTCAAATGAGTCTCCTGCCTCAGCCTCCCAAGTAGTGGGACCACAGG